AGGAAAGGTGTCATGCATCCTGTCATTCCTCTCATACCGCACAGTCCTGACCTCCGGCTGCCTCGTAAACAGGCCTGTGTGTTGAGGTGAAGGTGGAGGGTCAGCGGGAGCATGTGACAGAGTGAGAGTGGAGGGAGGTGAGTGACAGAGTGTTAGCATGTTAGCTCTGTGATACTCTGGGATAAAAACTGTACTCGCTGCAGCGTCACAAACAGACCGCAGGCTCCTCAACGTATCAGCATCCAGCTACCTGCAGGAGCTCGTGCTGTGAGAGTCTTTGTGCTATCAGCAGAGCAGGATAATATGGACTGATGATGACCTAAAACCTTTGTTTTTACCAGTGTACAGTACAGATGTGACTAAACCTGTCAAGTCCTCCCTGTTCTATCTGTCACCATACTGGACTGGACATGTTCATGGGAGGTTAACCCAATAAATAATAACTGTGTAATATAACACATATTTAAAACAATATATTTTTACACTTAAAGCCCAAATGTGTCATCTTCTGTTAATATCAACTTAAAATTGAATACAGAAATAACACATTTGGGCCCTATGAACTGAAGGTCAAGGGTTAACTGATGCAGCTGTCTGAAAGGTAGAGCCTCAGCTCAGGTCTGGTCTCCTGAGGGAAGCATCTGGGTATTTAGCTGCTAAGGCTCCACTGGATAGTCAAAGAACGTGTTTGTCTGCTGTTTGCTGTGGGGCAGGTTGCAGGTTTTAGAGTTCTGCTCATTATAAACAGAAAGCAGCCAGAGTGGCCCACACAGTGAAGCTGTGGGTCAGACAGCTAAGCACAGAGCGAAGCGAGCCGGTCTCACTGCCAACCGCTCACATGCGGTCATTCTGTCAGGACCACAGGGGGTCACATTTGAACTAAATGTGTAGCGTTTAGCATCATTTCAACATGGAGGGTCGTCAAACAGACCGATACACATCCCGAACCCTTCTCTGGTACTGTGTGTTGAGAAAGTGTGTATTTAACCCAAACCAAGATCTTTTCTAAGCGTAACGGTAACGCTGAGACATGGGACATGAACCTCAGTGTCCTGGAGAAAGTCCTGTGACCTCCACTATCACCTCCCCTCCAACGTCCTGACGAGGCTCTCTTCAAAAGAAGAACGCCTAACCGTCAGACTCTGATGGGTTTGGCTCTGACGCCAGAGGACACCTTGTGCATGTCTTTGAGAAGGCAGCAGCTTTGACATAATGGCAGTATCTGATGTCCTGGGAATTAAACTGTCTTGGTAAAGCTGAGGGGAGCAACAGAGGAGGGTGAACATTCTCTGTGGGTTCATCACAGGAAGTGATTTTCAAACACTGCGTTATAAATATTAGCGGCTCTAAACTTTGCTGCATCGCCTCGGCACATACATCCGTCGGGTCACACGCCTGCTCTCAATCTGAGGTCCGACATGAGCTCACCTCGTTGCCTCAATCTAATCCTTTAAATCAAACTTTCACGCTGCAGTAGCTGCTCAGCCCCACTGATGTGAGGTTTCTCCTTTTCCAACCCTCTCTCTGAACAATGGGAGCCACCTCTTCATCCTCCTTTCACGTCTCCAGCCTCCCACTTCAGCTCCTAACTTCCCCGTCCCTCCATTGTCCCCAGATGACGGTATATGAACCCTCATTACAGGGGTGGTAGCAGACTCTTCAGCACTAAGATCCTCTTTATTATCTGTCAACTGTGGACTACATCTCTAAGCTGATTAGCCAGAGCTGTCTTTTCAGCATTTCAATTAGGAGCACTTTGAATAGTCAAGCAGATTGCATGACTTATATTCATTACTGGCATTCTTAGAGTGCCGCACGATGCTCAGATTCAGTAATCCAAGAAACACACTGCGGCAGCGAGGATAAAAGAGCAACAGAAGAATGACATCATGGCAGATTTAAATATTGGTCTCGCAGGGAAATGACAAAAAGTAGCTATTAACAGCAATCCAAAGCAATTTACAGCAGCGGAGAGACATGCAGTTTTAGCATAAATGGCCCAGCTGGCAATCAAACTGTCAGGCACAACCGAATCACACAGTCTTGGTGTGTTTTCGGGAGCTAAGCAAGACAAATATCTCCAGGAGCCTCATCTTTACCATCACATATCTTCTGCTCTCTGCTTTTATCCAACAGTCTGCCGTCACTGTAAGAACTGATGGACGAGTCGGCCTCAGTGGAGTGAAGGGAGTTCACGTTAGAGAGATGAACAGCTGTACGTTAAGCTCCACCACTCAGTCATCTACATCCTGGTCACTGGAGAAGAGCGAGCACAGGAAACGTCCCACAGTGGAGACTGGATGGGAACGAGTGAGAGGAGGAAGCAGGAAAGGGGAGAACTGAGGGAAAGGAGGTTGTGACTGCTAGCGCTGATGGATTTAGGTCAGATGACGAGGATGTGTGGCCGTGTACGTGTGCATGTACATGTGCACTGCATGGTTTTGTGACGTCATTAGCAGTCCAGCCAAAACATGATGATTTGGAGGTATTATCAATATCTGTTTATGGCTTTATCAAATGCCCACTGGACACAGGAGTCACCACACTTTGATCAGTCCGTCTCCGTCCTACGCTTTAACTTTCACACACGCTCACTGATCCATCGTGTTAACCCAGCGGGGTGCTGAGATGTGCTGTACATGGCGACAACCAAGTCACTGTGCTGAAGTCGTACCTGAGCCAGCCGGGGACGCAGAACACCTGAACCTCTGCAGGAGAACAAACCTGGCTTTCTGCCCTTCACACTACACTGAATCTCTGTCTGTGGAGAACATCGGTTCTCGTGTCTGTGCACTGAGTGGCACGTTGTCGTCATGTTCTCCGTCGTATTCGACAAACAGCTCAGCCTCACTGAAGGCATCAGTCTGGAGAAGAGCAGGAGATGCAGTCGTACACACTCAGCTCCCATCAGAGCAGAGCAGCTGCGAGTCCAGTGACTTCTCCCTGGACACCTCAGTAGGGTTGAGAGGGAACGACGAGAGCCTTCCACATTTCAGATTATCTCCAAACGAGGTGATCATTTTGTACAATTGTGATTTCAGTCGCAGTCTTTCTCTGACCTTGAAACTACTACCTTTGTGCTTTGGTATTTGTTTCTATCATGTTTAATCCACTTCACATATTCAGGTGTTTAAAAATAAAAAGTACAAAATGTGTATCAGCGACTGTATTAAGTGTTGGATCGAGACAAAAAAAGCTTTTCATCTTGTTGCCTTGAAACTGTCGGTTGGATTTCTGCAGGTGCGGTAATTTTTTAAGTGCTAAAGCAGGTCTGGATGAGGAACACTGTCTGAAACAAAAACTCCATGTAGGCGTCCTGTCCAACGCGTGAATGAGTCTGCACACGATAAGAGCAGATATTGTCCTGCTTACATGAAGTAGTACATTTAACTGGATGTGTCACTTGTACTGAGGTTTGTGTACTTTTTGCTCACATACTTGTCTCGTTTAAGAAAACCTACTTGAGCACTGACCGGTTCAGGGTTAAAAAAAAATCTTGACAGAAAATGAGACCTATTGTGCACAACCACTCCAACGTTGGGAAAAGGAAAAGCTGCACTTTTAATAATCACTTTTTGTGAGTTCATGCATTTTTAAAAATAAAAAATAATGGGTGCCCATAATTTAAAATTCAGTTGAGTTGGGAGAAGTACATGAAGTATTCTTTAAGGTTGAATTTAGTTGATCACAAGCCTGAAAGAAGGCGATAATGTGACGATCTTTACACACAAACTCTGTGGTGGTGCAACTTAAGAAACAGTTTTGCTGGAATAATGCAGATGAAACAGTCGCTCTGCACAATACTAATAGAGTGGATTTTTAGGACTTTCCAATTTGAACCCAGAGGGTGTAATTTGTGGAGGCCCAGATTAGGATTTGACTGGAGAGTGGTTGGCCCGGTCATGTGTGTGTGTGGGAACAGAGAGGGATAAATGAGGGAACACGAAGGAGAACGCAGAAGCATCCAGATGAAAAGTTAAAGGGAAGCATGAGAAGGTCATGGGGAGGCGATGATGGAAAAGAGGATGGAAAGACAGAGGAATTAGTGAGAAAATTAAAACCGACGAGAAAGAAGGAGCAGTCCGCCTGGGATGGAGTAAAGAGAAAGAGACTGAAGGCCTGGATGGGGGAAAAAAAAGAGAGGCAGCACGAATAAAAAATAAAAAGCCCTGAAAGGCCACAGAAAAATATAGAAAAAAAAGAAATGCAATTGGAAAGAAAGTAGAGTGACAGATAGACAGGAGATAGTGAGCGCTAAAATGTAGCAGAGGAGACAGCAGATGGTGGGGATTATTCTGGACTAAAATACTCTGGGATCTACAGAGGGAAGGCCGCAGACATAAACCGTTACAGACTCCATCTGCCAGAAATAGACCAAAAAGAGCCATAGGTCCACCATCGCCATGATGATCAAACCCTGCCTGGACGGCAAAACCCACAACGGCCTCGATTCGTCACCACGAACACCACAATAAATCTCAGGATAAATGAACTGCTGGTGTGCTCGTATTAAAACCTCTGCGGAGAAACGTCCTGTTGAGTCATTAGTTCCACATGCTACACACACAGCATGGGACCTTTCAAGGAACTTCAAATCAGGATATTTTTATTTTAAAAAACGAGCTAAATGGCCTTCATGTGGAGATGTAACACATGTGCTGGTTTCAGTTTTTTGCAGCAGGTGCCTGTGTGCTGGAGTATTTCAGAATGTGTTTGTGTGTGATTATGACTGATACCATAAGACGCCGCTAATCCACATTTTATGTTCACTGTGATTAGGACAACAGCCTGCTGCACTAACTATGCGCACGGATGTGTGCGTGGCGAAAACAGCCACAAACTGCTCCACAAATCTCCCCAATAATGCCTCCACACACAACGTGAACACACAAAACTGCAGATACAGTCTAATGCCTGCTAATCATCCCCCCAGCGTGCAGAGAGGAAAAAGAGAGCAGAGACAGAGATTTGGAAGTAAGCTGTGTTGTTTTTTTTTTTACCTTTCCCTGTGTGTAGATCAAACTTTGAACCTGCAAAAGAAAAAAAGACAGAGAGAGGGAAACATAATTACTGCTGTGCTGTGAATGAGCATGTGTGTGGCTGAGTAGATCATACAGCGCACTGCCGCACTGATGAAGCAATTTAAACAAAAAAATCAACAACATTACTGAGTCTCTGCAGGCGGACAGAACCTGCACCATGCTCGCTTCCTGTCTGCAGCTCTTCTCAATGCTCCTCTGTAATTGCCTATTGAGCCGTGTCACTCAAGTCTTGTACTTTATGTTCCTGCAACAGCAAGTAAGTCAGGACATTCTAGTCTCAGCATTAGTGAGAGGATGGCAAACATATTGGCGTTTTGTATGTGTGCATAAAAGAGTGTGTGTGTGTTATTGACTAATTATCTGCCCTGACTGGGGACAGTTAATTAAATCCTTCCCTGGCAGTGGGCTTAAAGCAATTATTGTGCATGGATGCATATCTACCAAAGAAAAAGTCCACATGTGTTAAATACACATCATGTGTGCACTTCTTTATTAAACCCTGTGCAAACATTTCTATCCACCAGCGTTTACATTGCAAACTAAATTTTTTGCACCTTGTCTCGTGAGCATTTACATACAAACAGAACCTTTACGTCACCAGCAGCTGCTCTTTAATGGCACGTGCACCCAAATTAACTTTTTTTTTTTTTTTTTTTTAAATCTCTCCCCGGCAAAATAAAAACAGATGGCAGCTGAATGTGACTGCATTGACTTGCATTTGACAGGCTGCCAACATCATCTTTGCTGCCGTCGTCGTTACAGTCGCCTGCGATGAACCCAGTTGATTTACATGTAACTGGAATAACATCATAGAACAGTCTGCAGACGTGTGAGGGTGCATCAGGTATGTTACTACAGTGCAAAATAGGATGCACTGTCTAACAGGTTCAGCAATGCTTACTGGCCGCAGAGCGCTTTGTAGATACGGTAGCATCTTCACTTTGAAACATATTAAAGAATGGAACCACTGGGGAGTTTAAGTGAACACTTTATATCCCTCCCAGGGCCAAACCGAGTCCACCAACAGTTCCTGTAAAACAACATTTTCTCCACGATTCCACAAACCACTGTGCCCTCAATTACTGGTTTCCAATCTGAAGCCGATGCGCTGGAACAAACTGGCTCATATCTGCTGGATGAAAGACCTGTCGTCTAGTTGGTCGGTACATGTGCAAACAGATGCCTGCTACATCTGCTGTCTGATAACACGATCTGCTCAGTGGGATGGTCCAGCGCCGGATTGATCGGTGGCATTTTGCTGAGCTGCAGCGAGTGTGAAAGATTCTTTACCTCCTCTGGAAGTGCTTTGAATGTTATAATCAGTGATAACAGCCTTTCAGTCACATGACATGCAGTCTTCTAAGAAAAGAAGTACACATGCAGCGGGTCTCGGTCTCTCTGAAAACTGTACTTTCTGTAGAAGCAGTAAATGAACTACTTTTTGACTCTTTCCAACTTCAAACTCTCTTTTCTTTTCATGCAGCACACTGCTTCATTGTCCTCCACTGTAGCTCCATTCACAGCTTCCACAGAATAAAGCAGTCACGGGCAGTTACAATCTGTGCTCTGCTGAAAACCTTTGATTCTGTCGTCTAAACAGAGGCTGACCACCCAGAAGGGGTCCAGGAGTCCTGGAAACAACAGGAGCTTCTGTGGCATACAAACAAGCTTCACTATCTGCTGCCCGCACAGACGTGAGCACACTGTGCCTTTCATGTGCAGGTTTATGCATTCCCAGAAACCAAAGACATTCATATCCCAGGACCAAATCCCATTTACCCTCTACATGGATCCCAAGTCTGAATATATCTCCTTATGGCACCTATTTGGCACAAGCAACGCCTCAGTATTGCTCTTTTGTGTTATCAATGCAAACAACATTTTTTAGAGCTGAGTGCTTATAATCTTGTAACCGTGCGGCGCCTGCTCAATACAGAAGCCTATTACATTTCACTCCCTTCAAGTATGACAAGATCAAATAAACAAGGCACGAGGAAAAACAAGCACACAATAATAATCTTCCATATTTTCTGCATGAGCTGGTGGAGAGGGCAGAGGTGCGAGGCGGATGTTTCGTCTGGCTGATCGCGTTCAGGAGCTGACGTTGGCAGGACCATCAGCAGCAAGTCTTCCCATTACCTGCCACATGCTGCCGAAGTGCTCGGCACAATCATTTCATCAGTTGTTAGGCAGCGGTGCCTGACCACTTCCATTCAGGAGGAGCAAAGGCTCATGGGAAAGGCGGAGAGGGTGCAGAAATAACAGAAAAGGCACTCAATTTTTACAGTTAATACATCTCACATCAAGAAAACGCCACTGAGTAGACAGCCTGGATGTGACAGCACTGCAGGACTGAGCCGATGATGATACGAGACACCTTCCTTAGTGAGAATACAAGATGATCAACGACTGTCGATGCAAGAAGAGGCTTCTACTAAATGAGAAGTGATGTTTTATATAGAGACCGGCAGCCAAGAACAAAGGAAGTGAAACAAAAATGCGATGATGTACATATTGTATTTCCCCTATCTGAATGCCATTAAGTTCTTTCTGTCCACCTTCCTAAAACGGTGAGATTAGTCACCGCGCCAGTCTACGCCAAGCAGGTTGAATTTAATGTCAACCTCTGAGGCATTTTGTGGAGAATTTCCACCCATTATCCGAGCTCAACAATTGACTGTGGCTGCCAAGCACCTTCAAGGGAATGTCAGTTTCCATGGAGACCATGCCACCCCCCCATCCGTAGCCGAGACCACCCCTCACCGAGAGCAGAAAACCCTCTGACGGCCACATATCACAAACCGCTCTGCAGTTCTGTCTCGTGCACCGTGTTGGTCTCTTAACTGTTCGTCTTCATATCAGCGAGTGCAAACATCTGCCTCTGTGTTTAACCACGCTACCGAATGCTCATTTGCAGTTCTTTAGCAGTTTCTCGCAGGCCTGGAAGGCTTTAATGGGAATAAATGGAAGAGTGAAGAGGTTTAAAGAAAGTTGACAAGTAAGAAATTGGGTCACGAGGATGAAAGAACTGATAGGAGATGGATCCTGATTCAAGACAAAACAAAACACTGACAACAGCTGACCTGGCTCCTTAAAGACCCCAGCAGTGAAAATGTCCACCTGGTCGTCATGAGTGAAATAAGGAGGCAACAACACAGCTGGGCATCTCCACTTTACGTTTAGGTCGTTTGGGTCTCAAAAGCATGATTCAGACAAACAAGGATGTGAACACATGAATCCTGTCATGTTGTGGACTTTCTCTGTCATTATCCTTCTTCAGAATCAATGTCCAGTTTGAACATCCATCCATCCATTATCTATACACCGCTTAATCCTCATTGGGGTCATGGGGGGCTGGAGTCTATCCCAGCTGACTTAGGGTGAAGGCAGGTTCACCTGGACAGGTCACCAGTCTATCACAGGGCTACACTTAGAGACAGACAACCAAGCACACTCACATTCACACCTACGGACAATTTAGAATCACCAATTAACCTCAACATGTTTTTGGACTGTGTGGGAGGAAGCCGGAGAACCCGGAGAAAACCCACGGTGCACGGGGAGAACATGGAGACTCCAAGCACCCCACCGGGACGCAAACCGGCGACCTTCTAGCTGTGAGGCAACACTGCTAACCAACTGCACCACCTTGCAGCCCCAGTTTGAACATGTGTGGCTGAATTACGCAGATACGACAACTTGCCACTGTTTAGCGTCGAGTAGTTCTACTGTGTTTGAGCAGAGCTGTGGGTGAGCTGGTGTGCTTGAGCTGCAGCAAGTGACGAAGGAGGCAAAGACTTCATAGATTCTAACAGAGTTGCATCTCAGCCACTTCAGAGTAGGAACAGTCTGTTTTCATACAACAATCCTCTCACCATGTTTTGCTGACCATCCTGTTTGTGTGTCGCCTCTTGACCGGGTCGGTATTGAAAATAAGAACTAGTTCTAAATTAACTTAAAAATAAAGGTTAAATAAAAATGCAACTTTGATACTCAGAGCTGTTCAGGGTTAAATCAGTGACCAGAGAGGGACTTTCAGTCGGCTTTCATCCAGATTTTTAAATGGTCTGCACTTTTATAGCACTTTTATCCAAAGTGCTTTACAACATGTTTCTCATTCACCTGTTCACATTCATTCATACACCAATAGGTTCAGTGTCTTGTCCTTAGGCAACACACTTTGACTGTGGAGGCGATCGAACCGCCAACCTTGCGATTGGCGGACAACCGCTCGACCACCTGAGCCACAGTCGCCCATTTTTACATAAACAACACATTATTAGTGGACTTCAGTGCCATTCAGCTCTCTGTGATGCTTGAGCAACTCTTTATTTATCTCTCATCGTATCTCTCAGAAGTGCAGCTGGCAGTTGTTTTCATCAAAAAATATACAAAAGTCCTACACCATGGCATAGTTTAGACAAAGTCAGACATTATCTCATAAAGTCTGGATCATTGTGCAGCTACAGAGACAGATATTTATCTCAGGAGTTGGTTGAGACCCAAAACGGAGCAAAAAGCAAGCAATTATTGGATTAAAATGTGTCACATGGTGAGAAACACAACTCCAAATGAAAGGTTGTGTTGCTCTTCACATGCTGCTTCATGCACAGAGGAAACTGTTCTCCAGCCAGTGTGTAGATGGTGATCATAAGTCATTGTTGTGTTCAGAGCTTATTCCTGTTCCCATCCAAACAAATCACTCCTGGAATCCAGGAACCTGCACATGCTCTGAGCTTGTTTGTTAAATAATGAAGCATGAGAACAGAAAAAGGGCAGAAATTCAGAACAATAATAAGCAATGTCTTCATAAAGTATGCCATAATGTGTCAGGACTGAAAGCACATGATTTTATTTCTAATCTTTCCCCTTATTTGTGTCTTAATCCCAGCTGCTGCTTGTTCTCTGCAGCATAATGATGTGAGTTCGCCCAGCTCTTTATTCCTCTTCTTCGAGCAAACCAACACCAAAAAAACAAATCTCTCTGG